GCTTGTGGCCCTTGTCTTCTTGACTTCATAGTTCATCTAGTTTATTCGGTTTTGGCTGTCGTTTTGTGTATGGTGCACACTGTACAACCAGAGGATGACACCTGTCTTTCATCGACGACACAAACTCAGTTTTCGTCCGCTTTGTTCCCTTCCTTCTTCGGTTCTTGACGGCGTTTGCCCCACTCGTCGGCAGCAAGCACGTCAAGCCCCTGGGCTTGGGCAACTTCCTCGTCCAGGAGCACGGCAAGAGCCAGTACGCCAACAGGGTTACGATCGTGCTGCCGGACACGGAAGGGAAGGGTGGCCGCGTCGAGTGCACCTGCAGAGTTCCTTCCAGGTTCCACCTGCTGTGCCAGGACGCCCTCGCTGTGTTAAAATGTAAGCGTCCATTGGGTTGAAAACATGGATCGGAATTGGTTGCAAACATGCTTCGGTTAGGTGTCCTCCGTTGTCCGTGTGTGTTCCGTCTTTGTTTTCTTTGTGTTTTATTGCAGCAGGTCACGTGCAATGTGCGACTTCATGTAATGTAGTTCGGTTTTGTACATCGGTTTGTCATCCTCGAATCTCATCCCTGGTGTTCCCTCTGGTCAGAGCTCGAAGTTGTTTCTTCTTTTGCCTACATAAGGTCCGGGATCTATGTTGACTATGAACGGGGTTCTCGTAGAACGAAGTGGGATCCCCTCTGGCTGTGCATGCTGTACTTGTGCCCGAAGCTTTGTATCATCTTCGTGTGTCATCTTTGTATTTCATCGCCACGTGTGAGTTGGCACACCCGGAGGGAGCTAGCACCACCACCCCCTCTCGATGGACCGCCATGAACGTAGCCAGATCTTTTTGTAATGGTTGATATTTGTTTAGGGTCCTTTTGCTAGAAGTGCGGGATTACGTGATGCTTTGCCGAACACACTTTGCCACCTCCGATGTTAATTAAGGGCTCACCTTGAGGGTAAGAGTTTCACAACAAAAACGAACAGGCATGAAAGCAGGGGCCTGAAAACAACCCTGCCCTTCACCCAACCCAGCGAACGTTTCCTGCTTTGATCGCAGTTCGTTTTGACTCGTCCTCGTGTTGCAGGTTCAATCACTTTTGTTGTGCCCACCGCTTCTTTTGAGCAAATCTCTACTCCTTCGGGGTTTGGTGCGTCGAAGATCAGCTGGGTTAAACCTGAGGTTCCAGGCCGTCTTTTGGTTCGCTGATTCCACATTGTTGTACTTGACGCATTTGACTGACCATTTTTTACGACTCTTCGCCCTCGTCCCGATCCCGTGACAGCAATCGACAGGCTCGACTGCACGAGGGCGCTTATTGACAGCGGGTACACCCTGGCTTCCTTCAGGGGGATCCACAGCAACCCCGACTATCCCGTCGTACTCCCCATCTGGTCAGAGCTTTCGAAGGGCGACCTCCTTCCCCCGCGCCAGGTGACCGGGCAAGCTGGTGCTCCCAAGAAGGGCGCCCGGCAGCGTGCGCGATTCCCTGGTCTCAACGACAACTGCCAGCGTGGAGGCGGCCCGGTAGCCCGAGACGCAGGTGTGCGTGGCGGCGGGGGCAGCGCTGAGCGTGGCGGGGGCGGCAACGCCCAGCCGCTCCCGGTACATGGCATGGGCAGTGTTCGCAGCCACGTGGGAGACCTCAACATCGGAGGTTCCGCGGGCGAGCGACCCCCCTCTAGGGTGTGTGGGGGGCTTGCTGTTGAGCGTTACAGCTCGCAAGACGCTCCCCGCCGCGATAATGCAGCGGGGGCCGGGTCAAGTGCCGTGCTGAGCCAACCCCAAGGCTCTATCGACATGTCGTAGTTCAAGCAAGCTGTTTTGCTCATCCTTTTGGATTTCTTCGTCGCACGGTGTCGGAGTGACACTCGAGGCTGTTGTTCGTGTCTATGGCAGCAAGGTGCTTCAAGTCGCATGTGTTTACAGCTTTGCGTAGAGCACCCGCCACGGGCGGGACACGTTGTCGGAGTGACGTGCGAGGCTGTGGTCCGCGTGTATGATAGGGTGCAAGACGTCGCATGCATGTGTCTGCAGCTTTGCGTAGAGCACCCGCGACGGACGGTGCGCTTTTTGTTGCGTATATTTTTCGCTTGACCGTCACCAAAAGCGACATTTGACAACCTCGCACATAATTGGGAGGGATAGGTGGAGTTGACGTCAAGAATGGGCAGAGCCGTCGAGCTCCAAGGGGAACCAGTTGTCAAGGACGGTCGGCGTGAACCACTGCATGATTGTTCCGTAGACTGCTGCGTGTATGGAGCGCTTGTGACGATAACCGCGACAAGCAAGAGCGTGTGCCCTTCACCCCCCACCGAACGATTCCCACCCGAGCATTCACCCCGAAAAACTTCATGAAATCCCTCCCTGTAACCGAATAAAGTGGTGTCCATTGCCTTCATTGTTACTTATCGATGGTGGGGGCTGTTGCAGTGCGCCGTCTAGAAACAAAGCACGCAAAAAAAAGTGTTTGCTCGCGCCCTCACATATCGAAAACAAGTTGGGTCCCTTGTTTCCATGCGTTTATTGGCGTCCCTTGCATTGTACGACGTCGAAACTGCGTGACTTTTTGTATGTCATCGACAAGCTACACGAACGGGTACATCCTTTGTTGACTGCCTTTCGGTGCTTGCGTGCACACAGAATACTGCATCACCCCCGTCCTCGTATGCAAAAATTCGCCAACAATATAATTTTCGGACGTACACTGCTCAATGTACGGCGGCAGTAGTAGTCTGGTGTGCATAATAAAGAGGGATGGGACGGGATCTACATTGTCCTTTGTTGGCTATGTACGTTAACCTCTCTCTCTAAGGAAGCACCTACCGACTACACTACTGCTGCATGGTCGTGTATTACTGCTAGGGTTCAACCCACGCAACAACATTTCAAGCATACAGGATTATCATGGTGGTTTGGTGGAGCTGAGGCTTGTCTACTGCACCCTGAGTATCTTGCGTAGACTACACACTATCTCACATGTGGTGCCCATCACCCACTGCACCACCTGCTGTATGTAGTCTTCTGCCAAAAAAGTTCTTAGTCCATTAGACTATTGGGTGATGGTGCGGACGTGAGTGTGTTCTTGGTGTGGGATGAGGACAGCGGTACAAGGCTAACTTCGGGCGCCGCTCCTTGGACCAAAGCTCCTTCGCCGCCACTCACTCACTCCCGTCCGGCCTGTGGCGTGTTTGCATGCGTTTTGTTTGTGTCTCAAGTGTGATGTGTGTGTCTCGCTTACCAGCCAACTATTTGACTATCTGTTGTAAGAGGGGTGTGTAAGAAGATGTCTGGCTTCTCAGCGGGATGAAATACAAAGAATACCAACGCGAACACTCTCTCTACCGACAGGGAGGTGCAGGAGCTGGGAGCTGGACGACACGGCAGTGTCCTGCTGCTGCTCAATTTGTGCGCGTGCTACTACAGCAGTACCCTTCCTGCCCTCCCTCCTCTCTCTGCGGCGGCGAGCTCGCGGCCACGACAACACCACCCGTTTGCACATGCGTGCAACTCAACCATGCTGGATCGGTCTGGCGTTCTTGGCGTGACCCGTAATCTCGCATATAGACTATAATAGAGTATAGCAAGCAGTAGTCCTCGGGGTTTTGTCCATGTGCATATATATGCACAGCATATAGAGTAGAGACTGGTGTCGACTGCTTTCCGAACGGCGTTGTGTTCGCCAGCCATGGTTGACTGAGAGCGGGAAGAGTTGAGGTTGGTGTTGTTTCGCAGGGGCGGAAACTGATTCCTGCTCCGTTTTCATGGTTGCTTTCGGGCGGGAAGACTCGCCGTATGGTATCCCATGGTTGGGGGGCAAAAGGATTTGGGAAGATTCCTGCGGAGGAAATGGTTGATGGAAGGGTCTCATTTCCCGTCAGTCCAGGGTACATTTCCGAAAACAGGGTACAGTTTTTGAGAAAAGTAGCCACGGCAGGGTATACCCTGCGCTTTTTGCGACGCGGCGGGGTGAAAGTGGGTTTTGACCAATCATATGGGTTCATTTCACGTCGCTGTACACTATGTACCCAGGTCTGTCGCTTTTCGACCAGGGTATACCCTGTTGTGTCGCTTTCCCCGGAAATTACTTGCGCAGATAGGAAAAGGAGTAGCTTGTGATTGGTAGGCATTAGGGACACCGAACACCGCACCTTATATGATATCCCTAGGATCAAGCTCCCATACCACCTAACTTGTACTCCTTGTATACTGTAGTAGACTACATAGAAACCTCCAAGTCTGATTTTTTCTCGCAGCAGCGACTTTCGGGACGGAGATCCCAAAGAGGGAGGTCGGTACGCAGAACCTACCCGGCTCCCACTCGACCCTTTGAGGCCTCACGAAATCAAGACGCCATGCTTTTATCCCATGCACTCCTACAACATATGGCCGGGGAAGATCACCCTGATGTATGTCGTAGGGTCAGGTCCTTAGCGATTCATCATACACACATACACGGACTTCACTTTGGGTGCCTTTGCAAGGGAGTGTGTTCGATCACAGACTCAATTGACCATGCATGTTTGTGTGCCAAGCACACGTACCTGGCAATGCTCGGTCCTTGTACTGACGGTGAAGAACAACTTTGTTCACCACGAACAAAGAATGACGCGCGCATGCTACAATGGTGAGAGACCATGAAGCATGTACGAGCTAATCCGATCGCCGAAACACCCGCGTTGCCTTCTGCGTCTCGACATTGTCCGGGAACCAGTCGCGCGTGGTCACAACCAACCTACACATCTCCACCAAACGCAAGATGCTCTGGTCTTCGCCTCCGAAGAGCAGTAGGAGGTGTCCCCAGAAAGGCCGGGCATAGTCGTCCAGCCTGGCGAGTCCGCAAGTAGCACCAAAGGTGTTGTCGGTGTCTAGCGAAAGCAACACACCCACGGCGAACATCCGCCGTTGACCGTCAAACCCACCCTACAACGGTGAGCTTCTCTCACACCGTCCCGCCGCGCCTTCCCCCCGGTGTTGTGTGTGTTGCCGCCTGTGATCTCGTGTAATCCCAGGTGCCGGAGTCGCTGCTGAACGAGATCGGGGAGGACGCGGACAGAGGCCTGTGAGTTGTACCTCCCCCTTGTTGTGCGAAAGCGCGTTACAGTAGCGACGACGTGAGGGAGCCAAACGGAAAACCTAAAAAGACAAGACACAGACCCTGTGCATGTAAGTTGCCGGTCGTCCCCAACTTACACGGTCTACTGAACAACATCACACAAGACTGCCACGAGCAGATCTGATTTTTTGCCCTTGTGGTTTGGTGTGGTTCGCTTGGCTCTTCGAGTGTAAACACTTCAGCTGTGTGGGCCGTTTTTTTCGCTTGGAAGCAAGAACGTCACAGCTGGCCGTCCGCTTGCTTTTTTCATCTTACATCACCCCCGATGGCACAGTGCTCTCGTGCGCCCACCCCCGACACCCTTGCTGTTCACACGTAACAACCCGATGCACGAAAACCCCAACCCCTCCCACTCTCTCTGCAGGGTTAAGCTCATCGGCGGAGAGGACGAAGACGCCGTCCTCGTCACCGGGGGACAGACCTTCAAACTCACAAAGGCGGAGACCTCCAACACGCTCTTGCTCGTGCCCCCCGAGGGCACCACGGCTAACACCGGCGGCGGTGGCAACGGCGCGGGAGAGAGCGGCGGCGGCTGCACACGGAAAGGCGACGGGGGCGGCGGGACAAAGGGGGAAGGTGGTTTTGAGGCCGTCGCTGCGGTGGGCTTCCAGTTCGAGGTGATCGAGCGTTGGCGTGTGGGAAACGTCACTTGTGTTCGGCTTCGGTTGACGTACAGGGCGGTACGCTCAATCTTGCGCTCTCTCTGTTGTGTCGTGTTGCGTAGACCAAGTGCTTCGTTAGGTGCCACCGACGCATTTTGCGACTTGTCTCTCATGCCGCACGAGGGAAGACTTCAGCGCTGGCCACCAACTACGCATTCGTTCTTGGGACCGACCTGCAGCCGCTGCTTCTTTATTCAGCGCTGCCGGCGTCGCTTTCGAAATCTGTCTTTTGTTGTCAGCTTTGGTTCGTCAGCGGCCAATGACCACGCACCGAAGGATGATTGTCAAATTCTGTGGCAGTAGCTCTGCTAGACGATCCCCTCATAGCAACCAACGAACGGTTTCAATTTTTACTCGGCATCAATGTCGCACCAGTCCGCAGCACGGGATGGGAGTTTCCTACCCGAGGGCAAATGGCTCCGAACTCCACCCCTACATTGCAGCTAGAAACTCGAGGAAAGCATGGGATCCAGACCGCGGGGCCCAGCATCTTTGACCCCTCCCCCCTCGAATGCTCCCCCCGGTGTTTGCCATCGGGGTCGGGTTTTCGTCGCTTGGCAACGACGTTGTAAAACAAGCCGCCCCCCCCGGTGTTTGCCATCGCGATGGGGTTTTCGTCGCTTGGCACGACGTTGTAAAACAAACCAATTCACTTCGTGAACTCGGCAACCAGGTTACCGTT